GGGATGGGATGGTGATGGGGATGGGGATGGATAGGATAAATTGTGATTATTTGGGAGAAGTGGTATGATTTGATTTGATAGGTAGGTAGGTAGGTAGGTAGGTAGGTAGGTAGGTAGGTAGGTAGGTGAGTGAGTAAATGAGTGAGTAAGTGAGTGAGTAAGTGAGTAAGTTAGAGATATTTAATCATGGATTTAGATTCAGATACAGATGTGAATTCAGAATGGATCTAGAGCGGTTGTGGATGTAGATGGTCATTTCTATTTGTTTATATGTCTATGTATGTAGTTTACAGAGTTGGGTATGTATGTATGTATGTGTGTGTGTATGTATGTGTGTATGTGTGTATGTGTGTATGTGTGTATGTGTGTATGTGTGTATGTGTGTGTGGGATTTGGAGATTTGGAGATTTGGAGATTTGGATTTGGAGATTTGGATTTGGAGATTTGGAGATTTGAAGATTTGGAGATTTGGATTTTGAGAGTAAGTGAATGGAATGGGATGGGAAGGAAAGGAAAGGAAAGAAGAGAGAAGAGGAGAGAAAGGAGAATGGGAAATATAAAGGTAGATAGGAGATTGAAAACAGGTAGGTGAGTAGGTGAGTAGGTAGGTAGGTGGAGAGATTGGGTTAGGTTGATGAAGGGAAGGGAAGGGAAGAGAGATTTGGTGGGTGGTTTTGTGATTTTGTGATTTGATATTGGGTTTCTGATCTTCTGTGTTTTGCTTGGTTGTTGTGTGTGATGTTTTCTCCAGATTAGTCAATATTTGGAGATGTGAAGGTTTGTATGTAAGAGAAAAAGGAATGTGATGGATGGAGATGGGTAGGTGGGTGGATGAGAGGGTAGAAATGAAATGGTGTGTGTTATATTATATATATTATTCAGATTATATATAATATGATAATATGTAAGATGATGAATATATTCTTGTGTTTTTCTTGATTATATTTTATTTGATATTGAGTGAGATGTGTTTTATGAAAAAAGGAAAGATAGATGAGGCGAAATAAAGAAAGGATTTAGAAATAAGAATTGAAAGAGTTGTGAGGGTATTTATGAATCGGAATATTTTTGAGAAAAGGTACTAGATATGTGAGGTTGTTAGAGCGAGGATCGAGGTAGGTCGGAATGAGAGGGTTTTGATATCTAGTTTTTGTGTATCGTTTCTTGTCATTTTATGCATTCTGTTCTGTCTGGCTGTCTGAGAATGAGGGAAGGAAGGAAGAAAGAAAGAAGCAAAGTGATGAGATATTAAGTAGAAAAGTAAGCTTCGGTTCTCTATATACAAATGAGAGGTTGAATATGTTCATCTTCGTCTTGACATATTCATAATAATATACATGATAACAGAAAAAGTGAAGATGAGTAAAGAATGTAAACTCTTACAAACTACATGCAGACTCGAATCCATGACATATTCTGTGAAAGTTACTGAATTCGATGAGATTTATTCGATATATGTGGTATATAACAAGATGGATAGATGAAAGTCCTGGTAGCTTTTGTGTCTGTATATTCTACCAGCTGGAGAGTTGTAGGAGGTACATTGAAGCAGTGAGTAAGTTAGTCGGCCAATTGGAGGTTTATGAATTTCCATTTCATCTCCGTGTAATTTCTGTGTGTGATATGAGATATGGATATGTGATGGATATGATATCATTGTGTGGGTATGTGAATAAAGTAGGAAGTTAAGAATAGAGAGAAAATCCACAGTCTGATTGAATTAGGAGGTTTATATTCATGAACGAAAATTCCAATCTTGAAGTAGAGATACAGTAGTGAGCTCTAGTAAAGAGGATGGAAATATCATGTTTGAGTAACTCATATAGATATCTTTGATATAGAAACTCTCTAGATTTGTGATGAAACATTAATAAACAAATGAATAACACAAAGTCCAATTCAAAAATGAAAACTATAGAGAAAAACTGCCGAATCTCCCCTGGGTAGTACTTTTCCAAGCTAGTGTTCCCAAATGGGAATTTTAGAAGGGGGTGGTTTGTAGATGTGCATCAAATGGTGGAAATCACGGGGTATGGGCATTGAGAGAGGGAAAGTTTTGATGCTTCCTTGAGTTATGGTTTTACTATATACAGAGTGCGTGAGTAATCACATGAGGGTGAGTATGGAGATGTATACTAAATGCGAAGTATCAGGGAGATTTAGGGGCAATTGAAAGCAAGGAAGTTTTTGTTTGGGATATTGGGATGGTAGTATGATTGTTGAGGGAGTATACATGTCGAATGTCCAACTCAAGATGATCGGTTTTTCATTGTGTTTAGGGATACATAAATGGGTAGTCAATAGCACGAATAAAAATTCAAGAAAAATAACATCTCTTCAGGAGTATATCCCCAGAAATGTTGTTATAGAATAGCTACACGTAATACCAGTCACCTTTCAAATGAAGCTGTCTTCATCAATCAGGTCAATTGACAAGGTCAAACAAGTGTAGACAGAGCCTCAAAAGTCACACCTATACCGTGGGTAGTGATTCCCCCAGCTAAATGTCCCAAATAGGAAATGTCTTCCAGAATAGGAAATCAAGAAGGGGGTGAATGGTAGATGTGCATCAAAAGACATTTTCAATTGTAGAATCACGGGGTATGATGTTACGTAGAAGTTTCCAAATCATTCCTTGGAGTGTTAGTCCCGCCTGCCAGGCCCATTGAGTCATATCTTTGAAAGGGGAATTATTTGACGAGGAGATTGGAGATGGTAATTTTAATCGAACAGATTTCACCGGATTTTTTGGTCCTAGCCTATGAGGTATGACGGAAGAAGAATTAGAATCAGAATCATCACTTCTGATTTGATTGGAGAAGAAGAGTACTATCAGGACTTTCACTATCTCATGTAAATGACGGAAATGGTACAATCAATTACGTATTTGCATCAGAGTTCTCAATGCTAAACCTCAATGTATGATGACAAAAGGTAAAGAACATTCATCAATTACAGGTCGAGTCCCAAAATTACAGAAGGGATCCGTTTTGTTTTAATCAAAATATAACATGGTGAAAAGAAAATACAGATATACAACAAACACCGAAGCTTCACCAGAGTTGGTGTCATAGTATGGGGTATTGTGCTGGAGAATCTCCATCATCTTTCTAGAATCTTCCGAAAAGGGTAACTTGCTACTAAATGTATGACTGGCTTATACATCATGTATAAAAACCACAAATACTGACTAGACTTTTCGAGACTCAACCTACAGATTATCGTGGTAGAAAAGAGCGAGCATTATCTTAATGTGCCGTGAACGAGATGGGCAACACACGGAAAGGAGGCCTTCTTTTCCAATCTCATATCGACTCAACCTAATCTTTACTTTAAATCAGAATTTTCATAGAACTGATTAAGCATTCCGATTTACTAATGTATGAATCAGATCCCTAATCACTGGCATGTTATCTCGCACAGTCAAAACGGATGGTTACACTCATTCGGCGAATGTGATTAACCAAATATGTGGTTTCCTCCAGGGAATACCTGAGCACTAGTTCACCCGAGGAGAAAATTCTCGAGGAGGTGATTTGGAGACATGCAAAATCAGATTTTTTTTCACCAGATTCTTTAGAGCTAGAGCTAGAGCTAGAGCTAGAGCGCGAGATATGAGGTGATAGACCAAGAGAATTTATCTAGATCATTCCAAATGTCCATAGGAAATGACGAAACGACATTATGGAAACGGTGTTCAATACTTTAAGTTTGGATGAAGTGAGTTAGGCCATAGATCTTCATGATTTGCGGGGAGCATCGAGCTATCAATGTACTAGTGGTTACTGTAGAGATCTATGTAGATGAGGCTCTGCGATTCTAGCGTGCGGGGTATGGGGATTCCTTAATAACCATGTTTGTTTTTTCAGTCTGGAAAGATCTTGGGGAGAATTTGATGAAAGTAATGGGGTATTTTTTGAAGGAAAGAAGATGGGTTTGAGGGCTAAGTAAGAGGTTGAGATTCTCTATGATAATAGCTTGTGTTGGAATGGATATTTGACTCTTTTCAATAACTGGTAGGTATATGAAATCTCTGTTGCGTCGCCAATTTTCGTAAAGTATGATCTGTGGGGATTGAGTAAGATGTGCTAGTGACTAGCAATGAAGCTTGGCTAGATTTTTCTCGGTCTGATCAGAAGATAGATATGATATGAGCAATATTGCATTTAAGCTTTTATTCTTGAAGGACAGATATGATGTTTCTGTCTTTCCAAGCCTTTATTCATAGACTAGCATTGAAGAAGAAGATCTTGTCAGAGATGGATAATGTCCTCAGTTGGCATAATACCCGAGTTTTTCCAACTTCGGAACACAGAAAAAGCACCAGTACAGAAATGATGTGTGAAATCAACCACTAAGATCAAAATAATTGAACCTGGAAAGCTGATAAAGTACTAATTGCAAATATTACTCATCTGGGACTCCGACAAATGACGATGGAAGCTTGAACTTAGCTTCGATGAAGGAGGTCTATCGCCCCGCATCAAAAAAGACCAGAGGACTTGGGTTCATTACTACTTACACTAAACAAGACACTTGCCTCCAATCTAGCCAATCTACAATCTCCAAGCACGCAACATTTGAGTCACCACCTCATAAACTATGAACAAGTGCAAGATTGTCATTGATAGCCTTTTTTAGACCAAACTTTGTGCGTAATATCAAGATTCTCCACCAAACTTGAGTAGATCACAACTCAAAGTTCCAAGAAGAACGAAAATTTTCTCCAAACTAAGGAAACTCTGCTATCCAGTAGCTCTAAAGAACGGATAATTTGAGTGCTGAATTTCTATAAAAGGTCTGGAAATCCCTACTCTTGTTTTTTTTTGGAATCCCAGAATATCAAACATCAATCAAGACAATACATACACCCTTACCACACTTGACTACACGACAACACTTGACTACACGACAACACTTAACATACAACAACACTTCAACATACAACGACACTTTAACATACAACAACACTTTAACATCAACGTCAATAAGATACCAGCATGCATTTCTCAAAAGCTGCCATCACTGCCATCTTGGCCTTCACCTCAGTACAAGGTTTACCAATTGTAAGTTATATTTCCATCTCCTTGTAGATACTCTCAATGCAGACAAGCAATCAAAGGCATTCAATACCCGAACTTGATTGGGCCACTCAAGTCACTCGAGGCACCAAGTTTGTTTTGGCCATTGGACGCTTCTTATTGTTTTACTAGTCCTATGGTCCAGATCATTGGACTCTTGAATCAACTGAGTGAACTTGAACTAACAAATCGTAGCAAAAACGCTGTGACACATGCGGTCTTTCCAATAAAGAACCTAAGGTTGAAGAGCGCGATTCTCAAAAAACACCGGTCGTCAAAATGCGATTGAGACCTATATCAGATTTTTGTGAGAAATGTCCACCAAAGGAATTTTTCGAAGCTGGTGGGGCCGGATATGGCATGACTCCAAAGGGCATGATGGGAGAACTTGTTGCTGGCATGTGCAATGACCATTGTGGGACTGCCTATCCCGAGTCTTACCCAAACAATCTCCAACCTAGACTTACTATTTCTCGACCCGAATCAAACACTACCCGGCCTAGAGCTGTTACTTCCCAATCCGAATCAACCACCACCCAACCTGAAATTACCGCTTCCCAGTCAGATGATTACAAAAACAATAATTACACTATCCAATTTGAAGATGATGATATCATTGAGTTCAAGCCTGAAGAGAAGGGCACTTGCACTGCTGCAGGCATGTTCAACTGTATTTCTGGAACATCGTTCCAGCAATGTGCCAGCGGTACCTGGAGTGCTGCTCAAAATATGGCTCCAGGAACTGTTTGTTTAGCTGGATACGCGTACGATTTGAACACTGTGGCAGTCGAAAAGAGAACGGTGACCACCCAGGATATCCAGAATTCTACTTCAGAGGAAATGGACACCAAGGCAGAGAAGAAACCTGCTGAAAAGAGATTGTGGATCCAAGTTTTCAAATGGCAATTCTTCGGACCCAAACCACCAGTGCACCTTACTCCAGAGGAGCAGAAAGAGAAGGATATCGCAGCAGAAGCCAAACATGCCAAGGAATTTCATCAATATGGCGGACACGGAGATCTCAAGAAGGAAGCTGAGGAGAACAAAGCCGCCGAAGAGAAGCACGCCAAAGAATTTCATCAATTTTCCGGTCTCGACAAGGAAGCTGAGAAGAAGAAAGCCGAGGAGAAGAAAGTCTCTGATGAGAAATATGCCAAAGAATTTCATCAATTTGGCGGTATCAAGAAGGAAGCTGAGAAGAAGAAAGCCAAGGAGGAGGAGAAAAAAGCCCTTGCTTGGGAACTATTTGGACCCACAAAGGATGGAGAAAAGCAAGAATAATTTGAAGTAAAAGGTACAGGGCTCTGGAGTTTGGAAATTTGTTTAATGTTTAATATGTTTGCTTGGACTTGTTTGGTAATTCTTTTGGTGTGAATACGATACTCCATATAGCGGATGGCAGATCTCACACAGGCGCAATATAGATTGATGTAATAAAATTCGGGAATTTTCCAACAAAAATCGATATATCTTGACTGTCTGGAACCTGACACGTGAAGGAAGATGACTTAAACGAAGTGGATTGAAGAGTGGCCATGTGGATATAAAGAACAACTCCAAAAATTAGATCATTCAAATCCCTCGAGAAATCCAGTCATGACTGCATTGCTTCGTATCTTTGGATTCAAAGTGTAAAAATACAGTTTGCCGATACAGCATACCTAAAGCCCTGCGCAGACATCATGCAGAGTTAAGAATATCTAGATCTCTCTACTTACTAAATATGTTCTCAAAACCCCATCCAAACTCTCGAAGTTGAAGGACGGTGGAATAATTTTAGGAGAGATACAAAAGTATTTGAACCCGACCCAGAAGCAGTGGTGGAGAGATGCAGGATTATAAGTACTCAGGAAGTCCTGACTCTAGCCATCGCAGTGAAAGTTGAGTCAAGAATATGCTAGAATTGGAGAGATTTCTGAAACCTTGGGGTTTGGAGCTGAGAAACGTACTTTTTGGCAGGGTTGTAAGCGCGCGCAAGGCTGCGTCGAACTCATAATAATAGATGCGAATGAAGCGAAAGGTCCTGGTCATAGATCTTTGAAACACACCACATTTAAATCACGAACTGCGATTGGTTTGAATTTTCGTAGATGAAGGCAAGGGCTCTCATCGTCCACACATAATCTGCCATCATAACTTGTACTCACACGAAGATATGATCTATTGGCGAAGTATATGCATGAATTTCCAAGTCGGTATGAAGTAAGGCTTTGTGCAGGGCTTCTTTGGTAACAACATCGAACCAACTCTAGGGTAGTATTGCATAACATGTGAAGCGAAGGTGCCCAGTCCGTGCCTCTGCAATTCTGTTTAAATACTTGCTTTGAGTTTTTACGAGTAGGTGTTAATGAAGGTTTGCAAGTTGTCTGTTTAATGTGTTGGGCTGTTAAAGTTAGCCATGGTTTCTCTTGAAGTATTTCAGGAGCAGTTTCATAAGTTGAAAGAGGTTGAGGAGGGAAAGGATCAACTCATTGGGGTTAGTCGTTTGTCTTTCTGCCCCGCACATTGCTAACGAACGATTTTATTGGTAGAAATTGTTTGCCCGCATCAATGAGTTGGAAAGTGGTCTGACGGAGACGAAGTTACATCTTGAGAGAGAACAGGATACTGCGAAATTGTACCAGTCGAAACTCTCTGATGTTCAGGTGACTCTTGCGAGAATCGAAGAAAGAATTGTATGGTTACCTAATGATTGCTCTTGAGAACATCGTTATTGACAATGTTCGAAGGACTCCAACAGTTATGTATCGGTTTTGATTGATGGTGATTGCATGACGGTATGTACAGATGCAATTTGTTCACCTCTCAAATTCGTAATTTACCAGCCACTAAATGTTGAAAGTTTTGCGATGATCTCATCAAATCTGCTCAGCAAGGAGGGCTAGAGACCGTCCATCGCCTAAGAACACAAGTGCGCGAATATCTTTCAACGGAGCTTGAGTTACCAAGCCAGATTTCAATCCGCATTCGAGTGTATGCAAATAAGAAAGGCTTGGCATCGGCCTACAGTCACAATAAAATCGTAGGTAATGCAGATGATTTTGATACATTTGTTCGCGGTTTCAATATGGGACACCCCATGTGCGATTTTGTGGATGCGGGTGATGGGAAGGAGTGTGCGGATTCGAGGCTGAAAGGTACTTTTCCTAGATTCATGGAATATCAAATTTGTTGGAAAAGGAAACTCGTTACTGACACTCGTCGTAGAATGTTTCACGCACGATATGGCTGATGTCCAATGCCGAGCGGTTATCTTTGGTGGTTCAGCAGATAATGGCTACGCGCGAATTCTCCAGCCATATGTAGGAAATATCATAAAGAGTAATCGAGTTGTCTTGCTTGAAGGGCCTCCGTTTGCTAAAGAATTAGCAATAATGAAGGAAAAGTTCCTCGTTGCTCATTTCCCGGGTGTGTTCAGAGACACAAAGTTATCAGTCCGGCGAGTATCATTACCAACCACACCTCCTAGAAGTTCCACTCCAGACACGCCCAGCTATGCCGCAAGAGTACTGAGTAATGTCGTTTCGGATGCTGTGAGTATGGAGGAAAGCAGCGATTCTTCACTGGCAGCTCCGGTACGAAGTAAGTATGCAGTACTTCGGAATCGCAAAGGGCAGCGTCTCGATGCCGTCATTTCCCCGCCTTCATCACTCATTACAGTGATGAGAAATACAAAACACTGCAACATGTTTCATATTTTTGGGGAATGTTCGTATAAGAAATGTAACTTCTTGCATGGAAAAAGGCTTGACGACAAAGCGATCGCCGCTCGACGATTCATCTCACGGTGCAAACCATGTCCCTCCAAATTAAATTGCGAAGATGAAAATTGTTTATTGGGGCATCAATGCCCCGACAAAGCCTGTGCAAGAGTTGGAAAAGGCTGTAAATTTACAAAGGAGATGCATAACGTTGATAGATCTTAAGAGGCCTGTCGTGGCGTCGACGTGTTGGTTCGTTAGGATCTGGGAGACAAGACAGTTTCTCTGATACTCGTGTTTTGCGCACTAGGTAGTATTGGAGGGTTTGAAAATTTGATATTCTTGAACGAGGCATGTAAGGTTCAACAGAGCTTGAGAATGATGATTGTACTTTATTCATACATTAGTTTCCGCACAAGTACAAATGAATAGATCGAACAATCATTCAATCAATACTTGTGTTGTGAATATTGACAAGCTAATGAGCCACACACATGAGCCACACATGCTAAACACGATTACCAGTGATACAATTGATGGAGTTTCAGTTGCAATTACACGTTCGAAAAGTATCAAAGATAGAAAAGCTCATACAAGTATCTAAAATTGTTCTTCAAGTATACCATAATACTATGCCTGACTCCTCACGATCGTGAACAGCATGCCAGTATCATCTCCCACCAATGCTCCCAAGCAAGTCTATAATATAAGCAAGCGAATTCTCAATACGAAAGCCTACCTTATATCTCATATCAACAAATCAATGTGGACACGGAAAGTAAACAACCTATAGGGGCGGGACCATCAATACGGTGTGTCCCGGAAGTTTGTAGGTAATGATACTTGTCAGTGCTGACTCTATTCTGAGCCTTCACCAAAACATAGATGGCGATATGGCTGCAACGTTGAAATACCTGACAGATCATTTCAGAAAAGCCTGACGAGACCTGATTGAAGATGACTTCGAATACTTGAATTTAATAGTCAACAAACTAAAAGATAAAGAGACAAACCCCATCCACAACACTCGGCTATCTCAGCTCCACCATCCATATCCACCCACAATCTCCCATCTCCACCACGCCTCTCACAGCAAAAGCAAAAGCAAAAGCAAAAGCAAAAGCAAAAGCAAAAGCAAGCGCAAAGATTTTTAAGGACGCCTCCAAAAACAGCAAAAAGATGATTCTCTCAGGCGTGATTTGAACACGCGACATCCAGATCACAATGAACAATTACAGTCTGACGTCATAAACCAACTAGACGACCGAGAGTGATGTTCGAGTGAACTCGAACTGGTCATTTTACCATCAAGGCAACCTGTTGAAGCACCATCGTGTTAAATGAATATATACATAATTTGCGGAAACTCGAGTCAAAGACATCATTCACCGTCGGGTAACATCGGTCAAACATTTAAGCCGAATGCGAGGATCTTCAATTTGTGTATTCTTGACATTCTGTTTTGCTAATAATGTTATTCCCTAGTGAAACTCGAAACGAAAGCCTTTCCATATACTCTCTCCAAATAGGCTCTTTGTGATTCCATTTTTCGATTGTCCACTGGAACTACATGTGTTGTACAAATTCTTGTTTTGGGTATTTTCCACCCTCCGGATCCTAGTGTACGTAGGATATCGATACACTCCTCTTCCTCTCCAATGCTGGCGTTCCCCAGATCTACAAAGCAAACCAACATCACATCAGCCCTCAAGTGAGTAGGCTTAACAACTATGACCAATTCGTCCAAGTTCTTGAACTCCAAGAGAGCCGAGTTCATATCTAATAAATAAGATTCCAAGGTGGCCTGGCCATCATTACAGTGTCTCGAAGCCAAGGAAAACTCTGTAGGATCCTCGGCATCATATTCGCCATCTTTAGATTTCATCTGTTCAGGATAGGAGTCTTCCGATCTCCGCAACGCTGGGATGTTTGTGATGCCATGTTCGCCGCTTGCAGACTGTCTCAATTTGAAGGGAAAGTCTATCAAATTCGTCAACTCTGAGGAATTATCCACCGCCAGTCTTCGCACTCGTTGTCTATCTTGATCGAAGTTTTGGAACAATCGCTGTATGAATGAGAGATATGGAATTTCTTCGGTAGTACTCCAAGCTACGCTGAAATATATAGTGTCCGTATCGAAGTTTACCATGGGTGGCTTCTCGTGAGGATTTGGGGAAGCTAGGTGATAATGGGAGATCGGGGTGAGGGTCACGTCTGAGCTGAGCAGAGTATATAATGGCAGCAGCACTTCTCGAGCTTCGTGGTTGATTTGTAAGAGGGCAATAGGTGCAGTCACTCTAACATGATGTTTGGTGGTGAGGGGATCCCATGCTTCGGTCGGAGTTGTGCGTGGTCTGACTTCAATGATTCGAGGGAAAAGAGCAGGAGTATAAAGCCAAATTTTATATCGTAATTCGGGAAACAAGTCAGGAAAGCAGTGGAAAGTGTTTTCTGCTTCATAGGATGCCCTCATTGTTTGTTAATGCTTCTAACAATTGTATATCGGAATTGGGATAGATTAGGACATAGGTGTTTGAGAACTATGATCCATGGATCGTATGACTTCAGTCAAATTTGATCTCATATAAAATTACGGATCGTTGTTAGCACGTGCATGAGAATTTTTACGAGGAAGGTTCTGCCAATCTGATGTTCCTTCCGCTTTGGCGAGTGTCATAATGACAATAGATTTGTTTTTGCCATGTCCGGCTTTGTAATATGGTTCTCTTTTGTTTCTTTCTGATGGTACTTGTGTTGCCTCGCCACGCCTGTGTCGTTCGGATTATAGTACGTACAAATCGGCAAATGTAACGGCTGATTCAGAGTCTCTTCGACAAAGATCTTTCTCCATAACCTCCAATCGAATGGATTGAGAATTTTTCATGGCTACACTCAATCTTCCAATGCTTTTACGATATTTCAAACACCATCTAGGACGGCTCGCAACCTCCTGTTACAACAGAAGCATTTCTCGTCTCCAAAAACTTTTTTTTTTCCTCGGCGGGGGGTATTCACGCTACTTTCCTCTTCTCAAGTCATATGCTCGACCCAAATCTTCAGTTTTGGAAACACAACATCAATTAGGGTTAAAAATACTCCACAAACTTTCATTTCCGGTAGATACACTGTGTTATGTTTCGACCAGGATAGATATCTTATCAATCTCGAACGTTCAGTGCTGCGTTTCGAATCTTGATAGACCTAATTTGGGCCTAGCTGGTCATCGATGGTCCAAATTATAGGCCGATGATCCGAAGCTTCCAAAACCACTCAGATTATACGGATTGCTTGATTTCCTGAGTCTACTTTGAATATCGTATTGTTGTCATATATCAGAAGCCTATGTTTACCCTGCTAGACCAGACGATCGATATCCTAGAAATGAGAGGCGCATGAAATCCCCACAGAGTCATAACACATTTCTTTGGATGGTAGGGAGATTGAAGGATTGAGATATCCACTATAAAGTAAACTAGAAGTTTGAATTTATCGTTGCTCCTTTGGCCTCGGGACTTACTCCGCTCCACATCTGCAGGCACTTTCGTACAAGTCAATAGAAATAGTCCCGGAATGGATGCAAAAATCTTCAGAGCCAAGTTCGAAGAATTCTTTTGGGCGAAGTTACACATCGAAATTACAAAGAGCGATGCCCAAGTATACTTTCCAAAATGGCACTGGGGCCCATACTACCATCTTAGCCAGCTTTATACTTTTCAAACGAGACTTGCACTTTCTTGTTCTATGAACTAGAAGTAGCTTGTACAGAAGTTTTGGGGGAAGTGATAACCAAAAGCATCAATATGTTTCCCTCGACTCCACGCTTTCCGTCAACTACATCACAAACATCCACTCTTCAAGCAGTTTACGCCAATTCAGAATATTGATGCGTTGAGTATCACTTACCAAGGAGCATAAGAATAAAATATCCACAACCAACTTCGCGTAGGATAGTGAACCAGCCAACAATTTTATGATTTTCACGCATCGAATCCGAACCACACCTGTGATTCGGATCTTCTGGGGATTTAACTATTTGGAGGCTTCGAGTTGATAATATCTCAAGTCATACATACATTTAATTCATTAATAGATATGCTAAGACGGCAGATGGCCGCTCGTGGCTATGAAAATCGAACCCAAGAAGCGCGGGTATGTCAAGCTTGTATTACATTAGTCCATTTATGCCAACGCAAGATTTAGAGAAACCTACCAGAGCAGCCTGATATGAGTATTCCGATAATTCCAATCCTCACACCTGAAGACTCGGAATGGGTATGTTTTTTTTTCCCAAAGGATTTACTCTGAAGAATGTATTTCTCTAATACGAGGACTAGAAATATATATCACCCCCTTGTCATTATGCTGGGACTGGTCCTGTGGCAGAACCCGTTGCAAATAATGTATCATCTTCTAATACCTCTGTTGGTAACTCGGATATATCCATAGACGCTAGGCTCAAAGACGCTAGGCTCAAGCTTAAACTTGATCTACTAAAACTTATAGGCCTATTACTGAGGGATCCTGATCAGACGCAGGTGATAAGACTAAGACTGAAGTTCGACCAGTTACAAGTTGGGACAGCAGAAACGGATTCTCGAATCGAAAGGTTAAGAGCTGAAAATTCGAGGATTGAACGAGCAGAATTAGAAGTGGAATTGAGGAAAGCGAGAGCCGAGTTGGCATCAATAGATGCAAATTTGGCCTCTGACGAGATAGTCGACGGCGAATTGGGCGAGGACGAATTAGGCGAGGACGAATTGGACGAGGACGAAATGGACGAGAATGAAACGAATGACAACGATGTATCGGGAGAGACTGGGAGGGAAGAGAATAAGAAGGGAGAGGACGAGGAAATAGAGGATCACAAAATTGATGAGCACAAAAAAGAAGAGAGTGAAATATTGGACGAAATGGAAGACAAAAAAATGAATAAGTATGAAATGGAGGATCACAAAGCGAACCAGCATAAAATTGACAAGGATCAGAAGAGCGGCAAAGACTATGATAAGAAAGAAACCCTTGTTAATTCGTTCAGGGAAGCCATTCGAAAAGAATTGGATGACGAACTCGAGGAAGCATTTAGGAAGAACAAAATACTCGACTTACAGGAAAAGAAGGACGGGCATTCGCCTAAAAAGCGCAAATTCGAGGATCAAGAAAAACAGTCCGATACATCAAACGCTACTTCGTCTTCGCCAGATGTGAAATTCAGCAGCTCAAAAGTGGCGTGGATAGATACGGTACCGTTATTGAGAGAGCTAAACACACATCTGGCAGAGTGTAGGTTGGGTAGTTCAGCAGAGGAGATAATGGACATTCGATCTTGGATTGACAGGGGATTCGATTCTGGAATGAGAAGACTGCTGAGAAACCAGCCTATTGCCGATATACTGGCTTCATGGGACAATAGATACGAAGATGAGGGACTAAATAATATTCTTAGGTCAGTTGTACTAGTATACGATTCGATTGAAGATCTACACACGCTTCGTGTGCACTATGATCGAATTCTCGGCGAAGCGGTGCTCTCATTACACTCCAGAGCAAAAGTACGAGACTCAGGGAGGAACGATCATGAAACCGATTTTGGAAATTTGGCTCTGTAGATTCTTGGAAAGCTTCTGATCTTTCAAACAAAATGCGATCAATTCGTGTTTTGACTGGTACTTCGTAGGCTGTATAGCCGCATTGCTGAAACCTCTAGAATACTTCCACAATGCTTTAAATGATCGAATGAAATTTTGTACTGTTATATTATGCAGAAGTAGCTTATGCAAAATTGTGAGTCTCTAGATATGAAAGATTGTCAGCGTCCTACGTATCACATAAGCTGTCCTACGATCTCTTTTTCCGACTTATGAAGAGACGAAAGATGTGTGGAGTATAAACATGATGTAAGACAACAGAACCATTTCAAGATTGTTTCAACAAACAAGGCCCGCTTCGAGAGCCTTGGAAACGAAGCTGGGCAAGGTGGTGTCTATGTGAGAAGGGACGAGCTTCAAGAAAATATCAAAAAGAGATAAAAAAAAGAGAAACAAGGAGATAATCATTTGAAAAGACCAATGTATTAGCTTGGTTGGTGTTTTGAGTCTGATAGATGGACTAGATTACATAAATAACTAAGCAATATCAGCCCATACAAAAGAAATGTTCACATTGAACTATATGTAAACTCGGAAGGCATTATCATCAATTGAAATACGTGTCATACCGAGCCATACCAAGCCATAGATTCCTCGTATCATGGGTATCATAAAATTATAAAACACAACAAAATGTGCAGAAGATCCCTTTTATACACCATGGCACCATAAACCCACCCTTAGGATTCATTACCAACGACCTTACCCAGAACTCCAATCCGATACGTCAAGAATCATGCAGCAGCAATACCCCTCATACGCCTTCTAATATCTAGCGTGCGTTTCACACTAAAATTCTTTTGATCGTCTGGCATATGTTCACCACTGACAATGACCAAGATCTTCATTCTAGGATGATATTTCAAATCATGTAGTAGCTTCGGCGTAATAAGAAAGTACTGGCTATCATGTTCCTGACATGCAATCTCGACCATACGTCCGTGGACCATTCGTTCGTTACGAGGATCCATTCCTTGGTTGATTTCGTCGACGACGCGGAAGGGAGAGCGAGCAAGTGATTGTAAAGACATGAGATAGAAAATTGTGGAAACGGAGCGTTCACCTCCGGATTGACGGTGCTTATCAAGGAGCTGAAGGGTTTCGTTTTCTCTGTTGTGATGTTAACAGGTTGGCATGTCTGAGATATTTTAATAAAATGACTGTACCTGAATTTGACCTTAATCTCAATTGCCCATTTTTCAAAATCGTCTTCTTTATACACACCAACTTCACCAGCACATCCAATTTGCTCGAAATTATGGGAAAACGCCTGACTAATCTGCTCAACAAGTGCATCAAGTCTTGGTTCCCATTTTGCCATGATCTCAGTAACCTTTTGCGCAACGTCTCCAAGTTCGCCCTCGGTCCCAGCGATCCTGGTGCTTAATCGACCGATGTCAACCTGACGTTTCTCATACTCTCTAATAGCGTTTGGATTGTTGGCTTGAATAAAATCGAGTTTGTGTTCCTCGCTATTAATCTCTTGCTGTAAAGTTTCCACGGTACTATCCGGGGAAATGCTGGAGAAATACTCTAGAGAGTCCTGATCATTCCTCTCCTCAGCCTCTTTTCTGATGTCTTTGCATCGTTCCAGCGCAGCTCTTGCAGTCAGGGTTGCTCGCTTTGACTGTGCTTCGATTTCTCCTAGTCGTGTACGTTCAGTTTCAAGGTTTGCTACAATATCACTATTGCGCTCTCGTAGAGCGTGCACATCTGAACCTGCTTCAATACGTCTAATTTCGGCCTCGTCAAGTTCTTCGGAACAAGCAATGATCTGGTTGATTTGCTCGATATGTTTCATCACGTGCTCTCCCTTTTTGAGACCAGCAATGTCTTGCTCTTTTACGATTGCTTGAATTTCTGCCCTAGATTCAGAGCTAGACGTTTCCAATCTCTCCAAAGACTCCTTCTCTCGAGCTGCTACCACGTTAGTATATGCTCAAGTATATCTATGCCTCGACTACTCACCAAGCAATCCTGGAAGAGCTCTTTGTTCACCATAAGCTTTCTGCTTTTGCTGTTTCTCTTTCATAAGCGCGTCCTGGTTTCAAAATGTCGTTAGTAATATACGCTAACACGAGCGTCATTGAGGACCTACCAGTTCATCCCTTTTCGGGTTTGCAGTACTCGAATACTGCACAATCTTTTCAGTGATGTCTTTGGCCTCCCTCTTCAGGGATTCGAATCTTCGGTCGAGGTCTGCAAGATTTTCTTCAATCACACGCCGACCTGAAGTATCTACAACACCATCGACGAAAAATTTGGCTCGATTGATTACGGAAGTCTGGGTTGATGTGGCACCATATTCTCTTCGCGTAGTGATCTTGTACGAAGTGGTTTTTGTCAGAAAAGATGAAATTCCACTACGGATAATCTTTTCATATTGTTCGTCACTGATATCCCGTAGGGTGACTGCCGTCTTGTGAGCTTTGATATCATTACACAGCATGGCAAGGACTGGCTCCGGAGCATCAATAAAGTCAATAGCCCACCCATCAAGACCAACACTATTCAATTGAGCTGTAGTAGCCGATGACCGACCAATAGTCTCGGCGAGTGTCTGGGTACTCGTTTGTATTCTAACCTCCGCCAGTTTCATTTCCGCTGAATGAAACTGATTGTTTAATCGCCCGTAATCAGCCTGGGTTTGTGCGGTGATAGTGAGCATGTTGCTCGAACGAAACAATGAGTCAACAGCATCAGTATATCTTGGGTCTTTCACAGAGCATGTTATCAAGGGTGGGCCATAGACCTCCTTCTCAAACTTGTCTTGGTTTTCCTGAACCCACTTCCAAGCTGTAGCAGTATCTCTGGAATACTGTGCAATCTTATTAATCTGTTTCCCAGCTTGACTATCAAAGTCAGCGAGAGCCTGCTTTGCTCTGTCTTGTTCAGCTCGTAAGTCTCGTCCTTTGGCTTTCAGCGCTTCTCTGCTTTGTTCGAGCTCCGTTACTGTTGTTTTGATGGCTCTGATTTCTTGCTCGATTGCTCTCTAGGTGAAAAGTCAGCAAGGACCTACATGGGAGTTAATGAATCGGGCACTCACGATATTTTGATTGTATTCAGTGGGATTGAACTCTATTGCAGGTTCTCGGAGGCGGGCTTCAAGGTCAATTATGGTCCTTTTGACCTTTGCGAGATCTTTCTTGCGTTTATCCTCTGCCTCTAGAACAACTTTGATTCTCCGATCACAATCCCCAATTTTGTCATCCCATTCATCTACTTTTTTCAGGAGAACGTCGGCCTCTGCTTCTGCATGTTGTAAGTTATTCCTGCGGTTGGACACGATCTTGGCCAGTTCCTTCTCCAAGGAATCCTTTTCGTTAACGAACCGCAGAGTCGGTTCGACCTGGCTTTCCAAAGTACGAAATCGCTTGGTTGCTTCTACCTTTTCTTCCTTGCATTCCTGATATCGAAGACGTGCGTCTCTGTATTCTACAAAAGGAATACTGTTCTTTAGTTTTTCTAAGTCCTTCTCAATCTGAATTCGCTCTTCCAGTCGTTCCATTTCCGGACGCAGCCCCGCCTGTCGTTTTTCAAGATTCATCAACTGTTCCTTATCCTGTTCAAGCTGCATTTGTCTCGATTTCTCTTCTCTCCTCAAATTCTTAAGCTCATCGTGCCAGTCCAGCATCTCTTGCGCAGCGACTGCCCTTTGTGTATGATGCAGAAGCTCGACGGGCGTTAATGCTGCAAATTCGGAGACTTTATCTTGCGGCAAGAACTGACAAAGGTTATCAATTTGAATGCTGAATCCCTTGACCAAAGCTAGAACATTTTTGTGACTTGTTTTCTTGTCATTTATCCAGAATTCGCAATTATTCCCATCTTTGATAATTCGAGTTTTGATGATATGGTTTTCGCGCTCGTTGCTTCTCTTCTGAAGTTCTATTTCAATAAAAGCATCCCGTGAACCATGTTTGACAAATTCTCCCACTTTATCCGCCCGACCAAGGTTTTTTGGCGAAGAACCCAACCCCAAGCAGAGGGCACAAACCACGGAACTCTTACCAGTACCATTTGGACCGATTACCATGTTCAAATTCGAGCCAGGGAAGAACTCGGCGCTCTCGTAGGTAACGAAATTATTGAGCTTAACTCGAACTATAGCGCCTGGAGCAAATTTACCGCGTTCGGATGCGATTGTAGGAGTACCGGGGATCCTTCTGACATTTTGTCTGTCAACTTCTTCTCCCAAGGGTGGCGAAGGATCGGGTTCAAGGGTTCTTTCTTCAGATTCGTAATGTATGTTACGTGATCGTTTCGCAGGTCGCGTGGGTATAGTATTTTGTGAACTTTCATCGCCATCGATTGCATCCCTCGACCGACGCCCACGAGATGGCATTTGCGGTGCCATGTTAACGATTCAAGATCTAAAAAACTGTTGTAAAGTCAATCGAACCAATGAAAAGATATGCTAACGTGCTTGAAGTTATATCATTTTCAGGGTATCGATGGATGAATGGAGCGCATTAACTAATTCAATTAAAGAACCGTAGTTTGCGTAAGACGCGTTAAACTTTAGGAACTCGCGTTAAGCATCAATGCGCTAGTACTGTAAAGGGTAGCGTAATGTGATTACCCCACCATTGGTGATTGATCAGCTGATTTCGCATTTTCAACTTCACCTCAACCACACTTCACCTTCTTTTACATTTCTCAACTCATTGTACTTCTCTCTCCTGTTGAAACCATGATTGCATTTGGCATGAGAACGAAATAGATGATAGATTATGTCACGAAGCTAGCTGTCTAATCATGTGGAATAGATAGTGTTCAAGAATCACGGTCCCACGTATACATTCTTAGTGAAGTTACTGGGAGATGCAGAGAAAGTAGTAGGCTGGATGGACTTTCTCTCCCTTTCTCCCTTCTCTATACATGAAACAAGAAGGCTTTATATCCCACAAAGCCAACTGCTTGCGTCTCTGTAACGGATGTTGCTAACGATCATAGGCTCCCAATCCCACTGAACTAGCTGTGCATCGAAGATGAGATAAGGCGGACGACTGTTCTCCTGTATCATATATGGCTACCTATACCTATGTATTGCAAGGCAAGCTTGAATTGGATTGAAGGACTATTGAAGTCTTCTTTATAATTCATAGAACAGATAGTCTGGAACTAAAACTAGTATACTTGCTTAATCTGCAAGTAAATATCATAATATCTACTTGTGTTTTACATTCATTGGAAGATTCGTTCATTTCACAATAAGTTGTCTCAAAATCTTTAATAAGTGTCTTGTTTAACTTAAGGTACTGGTACACATTGTGATGTGGCCATGAGTTGAGAATGAACTCTCATGAAACCCATAGTCTAGATGATTAGAAATCCTAGATGCTTCATTGCTATCATATCATCTGGGTCTATACACTTTCTAATGATTAGATGACAGTCCAGGTCAAGGAATCTCAAAAGTACTCTAGTATAGAAATCATCATAGCCGAGCCAATGAGCATCCTTCCACGGTTGAGATTGGCATTCCTCTCTCGATTTTGGTTGGCATGCAATCGCGGGGACTTTTGGGTGTAAACAAAACATCAACATAATCAAAACTTCACCATAGTAACTGCAATCTTGCAATCCCAATCTTTCTTGAGTCCTATTCTCGCTTTGAAGACATTCGACAAGTTCTTATTTTACTATCTTTTTAATACGATATTAATTCAAATTTCACTTCAATTCGCTCTTTCTCTGTGCATCGACACAAAACAATCTGACTTTTGAGACAATAAGCTCTTCAAACACACATATCTTTTCAAGCAGATCAAATCTTGTAATCTGGTGAGTTTACTTATTTTACTACTGCAACTCAACTCACGAGAAAGCATTTTGATTTGACCGCAATGGAAGGCTAATCAAAAATTCCTAGAGCTTTCGACCGCTTCATTTTTGGGACTTTCGTTACCATCGACACTCATTTCTTCACATCACTATGCCATTTTAAGTTACTCTCTGAGACTCTCAACTGCCGTAGTTGAATACTACTTGAACAGTACTATCTCACATCCTGTGGTACATCAGAAGGGTCGATCAACATTAAAGTGGGCACGAGGGATTTCAAAAGTTTGCGATCAGACACAGAAGATTGTCATAACAATGAGTGTACAACACACGCGACCGCCAAGTCGACGACCTCTAGGAGAAGCAACTCGACGAGTCAATAACAATCAACTGAGTACCACCAGACTGCAATTGAAATCCACACCAACAAATCATGATAGTCTACGACAAGATGGTTTGCTGCAAGTTTACAACCAGGCTTCTGCTTCTCCAGGCGAACAATATTCATACCTTGACAATACCCGAATATCCTCTCCTGTCTCTACTGTTGTTAACCCTAGGCTATCTGCTATATCGAAAGAAGTTGCGACGGATTCAAAAAGAAGCTCACAGATTTCGACCGCATCTTCCGCTACTTCTGATGGTAAGAATCTCAAGAAATTTATTGGTCCTTGGAAGCTGGGCAAAACTTTGGGCGAGGGGGCAACGGCACGAGTACGCCTTGCAAAGAACAGGAATACACATCAAATGGCGGCTATCAAAATCGTCCAAAAGAGAAATGCCCAAATGTCCCAGGCGGGAAGTCTTGCAAACCTGGAACGCTTGGATCCGCTACATGATGAAAGCGATGGAGTGCGAAGAATGCCTGTAGGTATAGAACGAGAGGTGGCAATTATGAAGCTTATTCAACACCCAAATATCATGAAGATTTACGACATTTGGGAAAACCGCACTGAAATGTAAGTCATATTCTGAATCCAAAGCAGGTTTAGCCTCTGACAGTCAGTAGTTATTTGGTTCTTGAATATGTTGACAATGGCGAGCTTTTTGCTCAAATCGCAAACAACGGGAGGCTGGACGAAGAGACTGCAATGAAGTATTTTCGACAACTTTTGAGTGCTCTAGGGTACTGCCACTCATACAACATTTGTCATCGAGATTTGAAACCGGAAAACATTCTAATTACAAGCACTGGGGACATCAAAGTTGCAGATTTTGGAATGGCTGCGCTGCATCAAGGTGCAGATCACAAATTAAGAACTTCTTGTGGAAGCCCACATTATGCTGCACCAGAACTGATTGGTGGATTCAAATACCGGGGAGACAAGGTCGATATATGGAGTATGGGCGTGATTCTCTATGCCAGCTTGTGTGGACGACTGCCATTTGATGTTGAGGGAGTCGGCAATGATAGGGCACGTCTCAATCCACTACTCAGCAAAATCCAAAAAGGGGAGTATGAAGTGGCTCCAGAATTCACTAAAGAAGCAGCAAATTTGATTTCCAGAATATTGCAAGTGAATCCAAAAGAAAGGATTACACTTAATCAAATCTGGAAGCACCCCGTGGTGAGAAAGTACGACTATTTAGACAATTTCAGTAGCGGCCAAAGCATCCCGTCCCTTAGTCTGAATGACTGTGCTCGGCCAGTGTCACGCCGAAGTGATATTGACAAGGATTTATTAAGGCAACTGTGGTCTATGTGGCATGCATACTCCGAAGAACAACTCATCGAGACACTGTTGAGCGAAAAGTGGGTGATTTCGCTGATTTTGTATCTACTAAATATATGCTAATCATAAGATAGACCCAACGAACAGAAGCGCTTCTATACTTTGCTACTGAGATATAGAGATTCTCAACTTGAAGACTACGAACCGGACCTAAATTACTCCAATAGTGACTACCATCACATCAGACCTTCGACACTGACAAAAACATATTCAACCTGTCACTTCCCACCACAGACAGGAAGCAGTCATCGCCAACAAGCTTCCAGGTTCACTGTGGTCAGTAACAGGTCCGAACACACTTACGATCCTTTCAATGCTTCAAGGCCACAGCATCTTGATTCACTCAGGTCAGACGATCAGATCAAAGTCACTGTTCATGCTCCTCAGAATGAAGAACATGGCCGGTACCGTCAGCCATCTCGAATGTCAACATCAAGGTCTACCAGCGATCGAGGTAGATTACAGAAGCCAGTATCTCGAGCATATGACTCTCGCAGTTCACTTGCAAGCTCTACTCGAAGTCGAGGAAGTGCCCCTTTCCGTGCTACTGTCGGTCACAAACGTGGTGTAGATTTCTCACATACTAGGAGACGATCATTGAGCAGTCAGAAGATTATGTCTACAAATGGCCTATTAACTTCTGTGGGAGAGCAATCAGCAGGAGCTGATGAGAGAACCTCTCTACGACCTGACATTGAACACTCTAACTCAACACGTTACATCAGATCGAAAAAGCCACAAGCAGGAAGCACAAAGGTTACTACTACTATCATACAAAAATCCGGACGGGGCAGTTTAATATGGAAAGATGATGTCCGTCAATTGAGCAGCAGCTTGGCCAAAGACTGCGATGAAGCGTTCAACAGAACATCTGTCGTTTCTTCAACTACTTCCCAGAACAAATCGCGATTTTCAGGAAGCTCAAGCGTAGCTTCTCGCGGTCCTTCGCCTATGTTTAATGTGTCGGCGAAGAGTCAAACGCTCAGACACGGATCTTTCGACTCACGGCCATTACCTCCGCCGCCTGCTAGATCGGACTCTGTCAAAAGAGAATTGTTAGAAGCACGCAAGCAGGCTACACTACGCATGGCTTCCGGAGAAGATTCCCCTGGATACATTGATCGTATGGTATCACACATTGATCGCCTTATACTACCTCCATCTACATCCCCGTTGCTTCCACGTCAAGATCGCCGCGCAGTTTCTGCACCTGAGGAAACGAAACAGAAGAGACATACCCGGCCATTGCCTGCGATTAATGAGGCATATGGAGATGAACCATCCCCTCGAAAAGTCGAATCTGACCGCATCGCATCGGCTCCTGAAGCTCGTACATTGAAAAAGAACTCCAAGTTTTTCAATGAAAGAGAAACTATCCGGGTAGTCAATGCTTCCGCAGCATCTTTTAGCCCTGTTAAAGCTCCAGCGCCCCTTACCATTAGGAAGAAAAGCTCACAAGGCGGTCAAAAACAGGTGCAATCCGCGCCAGAATCTTTTGACAACTCCCTCAAGAACCAACCTTCTGGTCAGGGACTACGTCACCAATATTATGCCAGCTCTAAGGCGGATGTCGGACCAGAATTATCTCGTATTGATGAAGATTCCAACCTAGATGACCCATATGCCCAGGATAGTAATGCGGGAACCATAGTGAAGAAGCGATCAGGTTGGTTTAGACGCAATTCCAAGGCCAGTGATGAAGGGGAATCTAGAAGTTCATCAATTTTAGGAAATGAAACTTTATTGTCGCAGTCATCAGGCAAGAGTGGTGGTCGAAAGTCTGAACCAGAAGATTTTCCACCGATCCCACCGACAAAGAAGAAGGGGTCCATTCTTGGTAGGCTGTTCAAGAAAAAGCTACCAAAAACCGGCATGACTGTTGCTAGTGAGTTAAATCTAAGATATTTTTATGTTGATGAGACTAACAGGTCGACAGCACATGATATGTTTGACGAGGACATGAGTATTCAAGATTCTATTGCAGATTCCCGACAACAGAGTCGTCAAAACCGTATACATCAGGCCACGCGAGCACGTCAAATCGAGCCTCAACGAAACTGGCTAGCCAAGTTGTTCCATGTAAAGCCCGTTTCAAAATTTATCTGCTTCTCCGTTCCGAGACGTACAGCAAGATTGGAGATTGCCAAGGTGCTCAAAGACTGGAAACGATATGGCATTAAAGATGTTCAGGTTGATAAACAGAGGAACATAGTCTTTGGCAAAGTCGGCTCAGAAAATTGTAAGTCTCACTTGTGAGTTTTCTAAAACATTTTACTGACATCGAATAGTTCTGAACTTGAAAGAAGTCTCATTCGCCGCTGAGATATTAACTGTTTTCGAACATCTTGACCGTGGCAGAAAGGTAAATCTCGCTGTAGCACGAATTACACAGGAAAGAGGTGCGGCAAGCAGCTTTCATAAAGTTGTAGAGACCTTAGATTCCGTCCTACAAGTTCGTGGAGTTCTCGTCATGGATGAAGAAAAGAAGAGAATGATGGTGAGAACAGTAAACTCGATGATAACCGACACCATTACTTCTTGAACCCGAACTCATGATGTCCACCAATTTTCGATATTCTATATCGTTAATAACCCCAATTTGGACATTTGGGTATGGGGATGTATCTCTCTACACTCGCTCAAGATTGGACACACTCGAAACCCTGATTTACCACATGGCAGTATTTGGATGATACCTGCTCTTTTTTGTAGATATACTATGTTCAGTATGGTGAGTTTCTTTGGCGTTTGCATAGAGTGGTAGATATTTGAGTTGCGTTGCATGAAGGAGTTGCAAAAAGTAACTTAATATTCTTCACACAGCAGCAAAAAAAAGGGGTAGAAATTATGATAGACGGAGGTCAAAAGGCGGTCCGAGTTCATTACCGAAGAGAGAGATGATAGAGTGTTAAAGATGATTGGTTTTCTTTTTACTTTCGAATAGGGGAAAATGTGTTCTTTTCGCTCGTGTACTTAGGAAATCCGAAATTCTTCGATTCATGTTGATGTATATATGTTCATGCTTTCGGTGATGTGACTTGTATAGCAGTTATATCATGGTGAAATTCTTTCATGGGACATGCTGAAATCTGTGATGATTTTTTTCCTCTGGAAATCCTACATAGTACACATGCATATATATGCATATTCAAGAAATCTTGCCCTCGGGAGCTCTCATTCTACACATCCAACAGATTCGACATTGGTTTACCTGGCGAGATTTGGTAGGTGTATAGATATATATTGTTATTAGGAGATCCCAGTGCCCATGATTGAATCGTGAAGTCGATATTGGATCTATATGTTCTCGTCACGCATTGAGTGATGTCGTGTCGTGTCGTGTTGTGTCACTACCTCCTACATAGCTAGGTGTTTGATGCCAATCCCCTCATTAGGAAAGAGAGATGTTGATCGTTATGGGATTAAGAATATAATAACCTAGGTACTTGAGCAAATATTCTTGATGGTGGTAATACTACCCAGCTCCCTATTATCGAGGGTGTTTTTTCCATCGTAGACGTTATTTTATATCAATTTCAATCTTATTATGCAGAGTCAAAAGTAGATACACTTGAATAAATAACCACGATCTACAAAGCATTCCACCCAACTCCACAATCATGCATACTATCCACCCAGGTGTATCTCCACCGTGGATTTCCATACTCTAGGTTAATCGAAGCCTTGTAAATACACACTGATACATCCCATCCCCATCCCACGGCACCCGTCCGTTCGTCTCCGCCCAAGAAACGCCACCAAAACCACAAAAATGGTTATCACGGCAATGCAATGCATGCAATGCGGTTTCCCATCCGAGCCCATCAGTGTTGTCCAGCATATGATTTGTCTCTGCATTACGCCACATGTGGCGTGGGTTAAAGTCAGTCAAGCCCAACCATAAACAATTTTCCACAGACGACAACATCATTCGGCAGCTTAAACATGAAGTGATCTTCTCACTCAAAAGCGACTTTCAAAAGACAATTATGATCCAATTTTCGAGTGGTCTATACATTATCAAGGCAACTTCCCTATTGTAGTTGCTATTCTGGAATTCTTGTGTGTAGAAGACAAGAGACTGCGGGTGTTTGGAGTGGGAAAAATTCAAAAGTCCTGTCGGGTTGATTTTAACTACAACAAAAGAATGAAGAACGAGGTTTAAAGAGCTGCCTTGACTTTTTTGGGGTGCTCTTCCTCCCATCTCGCTGCAATGGCTATTTCCTTTTCCTTTCGCTCAACTAACGCGCCGTACAAATCCTTATACACGCCGCCGGCCTCGACCAAATTTGCCGGCACTCCTCGATCGTAATCAAAAAATACCACATAACCTTTGCAGTCAGCCACAATAGCCTGTTGCCAAAGTGACCATATAGATGTCACCCCAAAATAACGATCGGGTAAAACCTCAGTAATATGGTTTGCAACAATAAGCTGGCTTACGATCAGTCTGGAGCCAAAAACATCCTGCGCTAGTAACATACCGAGTCTGGAAATTTCACAACTCTCTTGAGATCAATTGTGTATGTCTTCACCATAACACCGATGTGTCGAGTATCCAACAGATCCTGGAATCTTTTACCAAGTTGTGCTTCGAACGACTGGAATACTCGAAAGTTGCATTGGTTAACATAATGCGGATATGCATGGTTTTTGACATGTTTGAACGGATCGTGGTCATCGGACCAATTCACACCACATTCTACCATAGTACTGGCATCATAACCCATAGCGATGGCCATATCTACTACCTTCTTACGAAGAAGGGAGTAAGCAGGTCCACCATCGGGGCTTTGATACGAGGAAGCCTCCAAAGCGGATTTGAATTTCGGAATAGGAGCCATTGACAAAATTAAGATTCTAAATTGAATATGATGCAGGTTTGTAGGAGAAGATCATTCTGGAATCTCCTTTTACATATGCTTTTTTCTTCTCTCTAATCGAACCTTGGTAGTTTCGTCGAATAACAAGGGTATCAGAGTAAGCAGACATAGCGGCATGCAGCGCCATCATTTGAATGCAGGTTCGTGGCAAGGAGTTATTGCTTGCCAGATTAGGCAACATACCCGGGAGTACTTTTGTTTGCTTGAGGGGTCAAGGGGATTCCTTCACGTTTTTTACATCTCGCCCTGGTAATACGAATATGACAAACATCTTTCTGAACGATTCTCATCCCCTTCCCACCAATATTTTATTGGGGTTGGATTGAGTTCATCCGCTGGCTCGGCACAAATCAGAGCTGAAAATGACGACCTTTCTTGGACCCCCCAACGAGGAAGCCAACATGCTTTTACCCGCTGTCATTGATAATAGGGCTCGTCTTGAGCCGGACCGGCTCTTCTGTGTTCTCATCAATCTAGACAAGGAGGCTGGGGTCACTACTAGCAGGTGTCATGCGGCGACTACGCCAACTCAATCAACAAATGTGCCTGGTGGATTGAAGAGACTCTCGAAAAGGGTTTAGGTTTAGATACATTGGCATACTTGGGTCCTCCGGATATTCGGTACACAATTGTAGCGATTGCTGCTGCGAAAACCAATTGAAAGGTAATCAGACGACTCTCTCATCATGGCCAAATCTCAAGTCTGACGGCTGATATTATACAAGGTTCTCTTGATGTCCGTTAAAATCTCCGACGAAGCACAGCTCAAACTACTCGAGACTACAGAGTGTAGGGTCCTCCTAGTTGCGACAAACCTTCCTGCCATTAGTACCTCCTTCAACAGGCTGTCACTCCAAGGTAATCTACGAATCATTCCTTTTGAGGGGGTTGAACATTGGATCGGGCAGTCGAAAGTCCCAGAATATCCATTCCTTGCTACTTTGGAAAGTGAACCAAATCGACCCTTTGCGATATTGCATACGTCTGGATCAACAGGTTCGTCATATCATGGAAATATTTTAGACGTCACTAAATGGGAATGGCAGGTATACCAGAGCCTATAGTATACACTTTTGGAGCTCTCACAACCTATCGCACATGGCTCGACCCCGAGGCGACCATATCTGGAGAACAACGAGTTACAGTTGATAGATGGAAGAACAAAGTTCATTATGTTCCTTTTCCAACCTCTCATGTAAGTACAAAATCCTCTCTACAATTGCCAGTCTGATACTTTTAGATGACCGGCCTACTTATTGCTACGGCACTCAATGTCTACTGGAACATGACTCCGATCCTGGGATCAAGTGCTCTCTTCACAACACCGGCATTGGTTGCTACTATACATAAGCTAGATATATGCGACGCGTCTATTTTGCCTCCGTCCCTCCTCGAAGCAATGGCAAAAAACCCTGAATATCTAGAAGGACTCCGAAAACTAGACCATGTCATCTGGTGTGGTTCTGCCTTTAGCTCATCCATCATCTCGAACAAGATAAGTTCTGTGGTCCCGATTTACGCAGCCTACGGTACCACCGAAGCTGGCCCTCTTCCTCTGGTCTTGAAAGATCAGGAATATCATGAATATATGACTTTCAGCCCGCTTGTTGGCGCACAAGTTTGACACTATACGGACGATCTGTATGAGCTTGTCATTGTCAGAGATGACGCCCTGCGTGCTTCTCAGGAGGTATCTCCATATATCCGCATTTGACCCAGTGGCCGACTAAAGATTTGATGTCCAAACATCCTACTAAGGAAGGCATGGTGAGTAAATTGAATCTTCTGTATTCAACTTCTTCACAAAAGCATCAGTAAGAACTCGCTAATGATGTACCATTCTTCTAGTGGAAATACCGTGGCCGTACAGACGACATCATCGTATTACTAAACGGTGTAAATATTAATCCCCTATTAATGGAAGGAATCCTCATGTCACATCCCAAAGTCGTAGCAGCTCTTCTCACAGGAACAGGAAAGGTAAAAGCTGCCTGGCTAATAGAGGTTGTTCATCCGCCACAGAATGAAGAAGAGACTACTTCCTTGGTAGAAGAACTCTGGCCTACTGTCGAGAAAGCAAATGATGCCACTTATCGTACGGAAGGCAAGGTTTCCAAAGATAATATCATCTTCACTTCGAAAGACAAGCCGATGCTGAGAGCTGGAAAAGGATCCGTCCAGCGGAAATTTACACTTGTGGAATTTCGGCTGGAGCTGGATGCCCTGTATGAATGAGGGTATTATTGTGTTGTAAACAATTAAATAGTCCCAGATCAAATGCTCTATTTCAATTTTCAGAATGTCTGAATGCATAATCCAGACACATTTTACATTCGATTTCGGGAATTCCTCTGTTCTGAGTAATTGAGAACTTGATAAGCTGAGAGATTTCTTGTATCAAAGCGCTCTTTCCGGAGCCGGATAAATAGGTGGGAATCTCATCTCAATTCAAGGTGTTTTAGTGAAAACCTTTCACAATCCAGATAATTGGTCTAGATAAGGGTGGAATCCCGAGGTTTTGCTTAGTTCTATTGGCCAAGGGGAGAGGGACAGCAATCCCGTTTCCTTTATACATTGTACGTACACATCGAAAGGCAGAAATCTCTGCAGCCAGCCAGTCCACTTGTCATGGACTCTAAAAAATATCGAAGCAAGAAGAAAAGCTGGAAGAATTGAATCAACCAAGCTATTCATCTATTGCCAATATCCAAAGACTCAAGCAATGAGCCGACACTGTTCAAAGCATACAATCATACCAAGAACCTCGGCATCCGCAATCCATTTCACAGCTTGGTTCGATATGATTTGATGTAATTTGATAAATTCTCGGGCACAAAAGTAAAATGGTCAAAATCTGATATCGCTAGCTAGATTGCTCCAAGAAATCGTTCTTCATTCACCCCCCTTCCCCGCTAATGTCATAGATCGAACCCAAACCACAACATGGGACACGTAAGCAAGCGTGCAAGACACACCCATCACCTATTCCCCACATCGTATACTCATCGCCTGACAGGGCAAGGAGATATAAAGAAGAGAGCAGAGTAAATAGGGAAAGAAAAGAGGCTTTCCTCTCTCCATCCCCCAAATCGAATACAGAAGATAAACATACAAGCAAAACGCATTCAAAGGTATTTACCGAATCGACTCCCACGCCAAAGCTCCACCCAGGTCCCATTTCGCATTTCGCTTCCCAATGCTATCCCATCGGAGCCAGGTACCCATTCATTTCCATCCCGCCCAAATCGAGATGTCGTACAGACATATCGACAGATCCGCAACTCCGAAACAAATCCACTCTGATAAGATACTATATTCCACACCAAGGCCCAGATTCTGGGATTTTTTTTGTAGAAAAGAAAAAGAACAGAAAAACTTCTGTCAAAATGCTCAAGGTTTCATGAACATGATTGTAGAGAACCACATAACAACGCCACCAACCTCATCTTCAACTTTCTTAGAGTTCTGTGTTGTCCTATTCGAAAGAAGATGTCCGCCCAGTCATACAGTGTAAGTTATATCCCACATCATCCTCATCCCTAACCCTCCCATCCAACCCCATATCCTCCAGATAGATTCCGAACGCCCATATCCTTTGGTGTCAAGGCGCCGAATGAATACCCATCCGCCAACCCAGGCTTGCACATCGGTTTGCGTTTATAGTGTGTGCTTGCCATCTCGTTGAAATTCGCATTTCAACAAAAGAAAAGAAAAGAAATCGACAAGTCATGAGGATAGATTGTCACGTTCTTATGACAATTCCTTCTTTACCATCTCCGGGCTCTCGTCGTTGGTAGAATCACTTAAGATATCAGATTTATCGATAGGCGATTGAGAACCCCCATTGGTATTCGTAGCGCCATTTGCAGCCTTTGTTCCGCAGCCTTTGACGAGTATGTGTCTCTGGGTTGGGGTTAGTCTGTGATCAAGGATAAACATATTGAGAAAGGGAAGGAAAACGAACCTTTAAAGCATCTTTTCTCGAGAAACTCTTTTCACAATGACCGCATGGGAATGGCTTCACAGATAAGTGAATACGCTTATGACGTTTCAAATCGTGGTTGCGGTTGAAAGATTGCGGACACTGATCGCATTTAAATGGACGGTCATTTTGAGGCATCTGTTGAGGATGATGACTGCCATACATTGGCCCTGGCATTTGTTGAGGATATCCCATATTGCCCATTCCGCCGAGGAGTGCCATTTGACTACCAGGTTGGTGGACATTCGACATAATAGGTGCGGCTAAGGTAGGGAGATTGTAATGTGGGTATGAAGGACGGGAAGGATAGCCTTGGTGAGGTGCGCCCATGGAAGGATGCGAGTGATGAGTTTGGATGGGAGAAATACGGTTAGAAGGAGCGGAGGAGGCATTGGGAGATTGGTGTGTAGGTGATTGCTGGGCATAGGCGGGGAAATTTGATTGTTGAGGGGTGGATGAGGGGGGGTAGTAATTTGGAGTTGGAGGTGCGCGTCCGCCATAGTTATCGGGAGCTGGCGCGTTGCCTTGTTGGGGTGCTTGAGAGGAGGATTGATGAAGGTTCATGAGATTGTGACTGGACATATGTTGCTGCTGGGAATTTTGTGGTGCAAGAGTGGGGAGATTTTGTTGTTGGCCGCCTGAACCAGACATTGGGACTCCGGTAGAGAAGGGAGGAAGGCTCTCAAAGGTAGGTGGTGGCAGTCCTTCTGATGAAGTGGGAGAATGGGGAATTCGTGACCCTGGATAGCTACTCATGGAGGGCGAATATAGTGGTCTACTCATATAGCTTTGTTGTTGTTGTTGCTGAGCATAAGGCGCACTCATCGGTGGCGCAGAACTAAATGTGAAGTTGTTTCCGGACTGAGTGTTTGGCCAAAAAGCCGAAGGTTGATAGGGAGGTACGCCGGCGGTCGAACTACCCGAGCTACCACTGTTGACGCTGGATGCAAGAGGACTTAAGCCGTCATGCGAAACGCCGGCAGGAGGCGTTAATATATTGTTGGCGACAGCAGGAACAGGCTGGGAAGAACTGTTTGTAGTTCCGTGAATATAGTTGTTGGATTGTTGTTGATATTTGTGATGGTGCATTCCAAGGGGTTCTGGAGGGGGAAGCTGGAAGTTGGGAAGGTTGGATGCGGCGGGCCGGCGAGCTGTAAAGCTGGCGGTCTCCATGGTAATCGTGGTGGATTACTGGAAAGTCCACGATGAAGGATTTAAAATGATGACGGCTCCTTACTTTTGTTCTGGATCACCAAATTCACGTTGTCGCGTGTAAAAAGTATTTGGTTCGGACGGGTAGATGCACAACCGAGGCGAGGGAACGAGGGAACAAGTAGTTAAAAATGGGGAGCGGGGATATTTCCTTCTTTTTTAACTTGTTTTCCTTTGCTTGTGATTGTGGATGTAATAGTTGACTGTGATAGAGCAAGAGAAGAAAAATCGAGTAAAAACAAGAAACAAAAGAACACTTTGAGTCAGAGTCCTATCTTGATCTTTTTGAATAACTTGGGGAACCCTTTGATTTTTGAGTATATGGATGGATTGGAGCCAAAAAAGACGACGGGATATTGGAGATCAAGAGATCAGTCAAATCTCGTAGGTTCGTTAGGGAAGTTGGTAGTGTATTTACTGGAATGGAGAATGTGGAGTTGTCGATCACCTGGATGGCGGCCGGGGAGGCGTCTGCTTGATTTATGTAGGTTATTAGGTCTGGGAAATGGTCTGTGCTTATGGAGTAGTGTGGTGTGGTGTGTGGACTTTCGTAGGGTAGTGAAGTGTGGGTTGCAGATGCGTTTGGCTGGATCTTTCTTGGTCAGAGCTGGAGGGGTGAAGCAGTCCTTTTAATGGTTGTCTAATGGTTGTCTAATGCTTGATCGATTTGATTTGATTTGATTTTCCTGGGCGACCTCGTGGTAAGGGGAATACCGCTTAGGAACGGGGGGGATGGTTTGGATCCAGTGAATAAACAAATAAACAATCAAGCACAGTCGTTGGTAAATCGGAAATAGATGATGGATTGGAGAAATGTAGATGTATATAAATAAATAAATAAATAAATAATGTAACCAGGAATATAAATAAACTGTGTTGTATTGTATTGTGTATAGACCAATATAATATATCAAATAAAGATAATACTACCAACTCGATGTTGAGCTCGCTGGTTGAGTGGTAAAAGTAGGATGGTAAGGGGAAGTGCACTAGTGTAAGGCTAGAGTAGCTTCCAGGAGAGTCCCAGCTATTGCAAAAATAAATAAAAAAAGAGAGTTTCGCGGTTTGGGGCGATTAGATTAATTTAGTGTCATATGGCTGGGTACCTCCGAGCTCTTGGGAGCTAATAAGGCTAAGTGATAATAAGTGTGCTCAAGAAAACATTACGCTAGATTGAAAAAAGACATGGGGTCCTGCGACTGCGATTGATTGGGGCCGAGAGTCGATGGAGCGAGGGATGCGGTAAGGATCGAGGGTCGAAAGGTTTAAATGTTAGATGGTTAGAGGCTTAAGGGTTGTTCAGTAGCGATGGTAGTATGCGGAGTAGCTCTGGAGATTGGGCGAAGCTTCAAGGTTTCAGGTTATTGTTTCTCGATGGAGAGTAGTTCAAAGGACATTGGAGTGATGGGATTCCGTTCTAGTATAGTGTGATATTGATTTGATTTTCAAATCTTCGCTTGATTCGATTGGCTAGCGACGGAATGATTTGCTTGATATGACAGATTGGTTTGATTGATCGTTGGTACTGGTTTATGTGCAGGTAGGTGGTCTTTAATATGTATGCGATGTTAGGTTGCTGCTTGTTGCTGATCCGGTTCCTTTCGATATTGGGTCTGGTAGGGGATATCCGGATCCCATGTGCGATGTCCAGCTGTATGTAGGATGTATGTGTACTGGCGTCCGAATATGTGAAAGAGCAACAGAGTCACAGGTAGATCGGACGAGTAAGCACGCTGGATCCAAGATGAGATCGAATGAAGGGTTTTGTGACTTATATCATTTGAGGAAGTGACATAGGGTTGAATTCTTAAGATCTCAGATAATATGATGGAATTATCAACCTGGTATTGTAACTACATATCTGATGAATATAGGATCGATGGATTGGGGATCAAATCATTCTTTTCGCTTCGTCTCGTCTCGTCTCGTCTCGTGTTTCTATATTTTGTTCAACAGCAGCTCTAGAATTGGACTTGGACCCGAATTTCAACAGCTGTGCTTTGCTATGTTTCTGGCATGCTCAAGGGTTGCTGCTGAATAA